ATCTGCCAAATTTTGAACAAGGTTTATAGATTAGTTAACATTGTGCCAGTGTTAGGTTCCTGGTTTTAAAACTTATACAGTGGTTTGGGGAAGCAGGGTAAAGGGTGTACTTGAATTCTCTGTTTTTGCAATGTTTTACAAGTCTAATTATTTCTAAATTAAAAGTTAAGAAATAAAAAACAAAATTAAAATAAAGACACAAAGTACGGAAACAGAATGAGTTTTAGAATCCAAGAGATCTCAGTTTGGTGCCCATCTGTGGGAATTTTGGGCAAATTACTTTAACCTCAGTCTGCTTTAGTTTCTTCATCTGTAAAATTAGAAAAATATATATATATATCTACCTGAAAGAGCTGTTCCAAGAATTAAAGGAAATAATTTTATGTAAAGTATAACATCACAGAGGCACCACAGAGGTCCTCAAAAAATAGTAGCTGGTTTTGCTACTAAAGAATGAATCAATATTTTGAACTTACTTTTAAGTCTTCAGTCTTTATCTTGCAATTTACTGTGGTGTGGCACTAGGTATGTTACTGGTATCCATTTGCAATCTAAATATATTTAAATGATGATTTAAAAATTATTGGAAGATATTTCTTATTTTCTTAGACTAGTAAAACCTCACGAGCTCATGCTGCAGCATTTCGAGATTTGTAGAAGATACAAGGCCTCGCTGACACATCCTTCCCCACTAGCATTAAGGAAAGCACCACGTCGGAGAAGAGTACTAGAAAGAATATTTATTTTTTTAAAAGGGCTCCAAACTCCAAACGCTCTCATTGATTTATAATTAAATTACAAACCTTGGCCTACACTGTATATCTGTGATATGCCCCTGAGAAAGCACTTACCACAAAAATTCATATATTTCCCTGTCTCCCTTGACAGCAAGCTCCTTGAGGCCAGAGACATGTTTTATTTATCTTTTCATCTCCCAGGGGCAAAAGCATGCACAGACTTATTACGAATGTCTATTAGTAGGTATATAGTGAATGTTTTAACTATTAACAAGCACCTTGATAGTTTCAAATCTCCTTTTACACACTGATTAAGCTACAACCCCCAAGTATACTTTAATGTGATTTAAATGGCACTTAAAAAATAAGTCATAATTCACATATACACCTTTATTCATGCTCACTCCCCACTTTATTACTCGAAGTTAGTAAAGATTTCTGCAGACAACTTCTTGTGGCTTTTTATTTTCAGGTTCATGAAATAAATGTAATAAATTATTATTATTGTATTACTATCATGATTTTTAACAAGTACTTTTAAAGCACCTACTGTGAGCCAACATTAAGCTATGTCTATTACACGCAACTACGTGTGTTACCCAATTTATTTCCCCCAACAACTCTAAAAGATAGTTGTTATTATTATTATTTTGAAAACTGAGCCATAGGAAAATGAACGGACTTGCCTAATCTCATAGCTAGAAGCCCCATCCCCTCCCCGCCTCAGTCTGAGGTCAGAGTCCATGCTCCTATCATCTGCACCATTCTCCTATGTCTTCTGCTAGTAGAACTGTGGGCAGGAAGGTAAGAAGAAACATTAATACAGTGTGAGCCAAAAGATAAATAACCATATGTTAAACTAGGCCTATCATTTATCAAATCATTTATTTTGGAAATGTGGGTTTACTCCGAATATTTCAGGAGCTCTTCAGGGAGAGATGTTCCAGACATATAAGTGTCAAATTTGCAAGAGGGAAGAGACAAGATCAGAAACAGAAACGTTATTAATCACCTAATCAATTTTCTACTCTAAATGGAAATAACCATTCATAAATCCCTTTATGAGTTTAAGGGTAAACACTCCAACCATTTTTGTTCAGCACATCAGGCTCCTGGCTAGAACAAATGAAATTCGAGAAATTATTTTAATCTGTCCATTTTATTACAATATCCAAAGTAAGGATGTTACCGAACCCCATACTGATTCAGTCTGAAATTATGACAGGGCTAAATCCCAGAAGAGTGTATTTCATTCATTCATTCATTCATTCATTCAACAAGGATTTGTTGAGTACCTACTATGTTCCATGATCTCTTTGGATACTTGGGATACATCAGGAACAAATGACAAATTCTCTGCCCAGGAAGCTTACACTCTATTCACAATGCCTCTTTTGTCTATAGTATAAAACTATGACTTCTCTGGCCTCATTTAAGAATAAACAAGAATGGCTTTCTAATGAATTTAAATTTCAAGTAGATAAAATTTAAGAAGTCTTTGAATCCAGCTCAAGAAAGGTAAGCCCATTAAGCAGAATCATGTGTGCTTCCAGAGATGAGTGCGCTTCTAAACTGCTACATTCACCTATGCGACTTTGTGTTCTCTTTGCGATACAAAGAAAACAAAATCCACTGTCTAGTGCATTGACACTACAGTGCATGGAAAGTACAGTTTAACATCCAATGAATAAACCATTTTGGGCTTCATAGTATTCCCCCCATGAAGAGTTCACTGAGAAACACTATACATACTCCATGAACAAAGCATGTTGTGGTGTTTGTTTTCAAGGTGCCACTTAGCTTTGAAAGCATGTAGCTTAATATTTTGCCTGTGGTATCCAACAGGCAGGTGTAAGAAGAGCAAACATTTCTCAGGTTTTAAAAATAGTAGCATATTATAACTTGGAAGACAAGTTCTAACATACCAAAAGCCACAGATCAGTAGAGTCTATCTAAAATAGAACTTCCTCAGTGCTGAGGGGCTTCAAACATACCATTGTGCAAAATCAGATTAAATGCTTCCCAGAGATCCTCATATAATTGTCCCTTCTGCCAAGTGCTTTCCTTTGAAAAAAAAAACTACATAAAGACTAGAAGAAAAGTAAAAGTGTATTTTGCCAAAAAGATCATTCTTACTACTTTAAGCTTATAAAAAGCTTATGCATGTTACACATTTGATCTTCACAACAATCCTGGGAGATGGGTGGGGTACATGGCATTCACAGATGAAAAATTAAGACAGTAGGGTTGTCTTATACAGTTGTGCATGTTGCTCACTGCACAAGGGCTCCCAATTAAGTAGGCCAGTGGGCACAGAGCTACAGCCAAAAAGAGGAAGAAGCACCTCTTTCTAATTTGCATAAACAGCTCCATTTACTGTGAGCTTGCAGAATAGAACCCCTAGATGATGCCTCTTTCTAATTTGCACAAAGGCACAGCATAGGCTGGTGAAAACTGTTTCCCACGACCACCCCAAAACTGTTTTTAATTGAGAAAGCACAATGGTTGGAATCCAGGTCTACTGACTTCCAATTCATGGCTTTAAATAATATAAGATGAAAATTCTCACAGCAAATTTACTCATATCTTAGAAATAGTCACATAGATAGTCCCTGGAATCTGTGAAGACTGCTTCTGAAGAGAAAAAATGAAACTATAGTAGTGTCATCCACGGTGTTAACAATGCCCCATCGCTAGGCCTCTTCTGCAAATGTTCTCCCCTTCCCCTACCCCTCCCTTCCAAAATGTCCTCCTCAGTCTTTATTTACCATGTGCAAGGCACTTTGCTAAGTATTTCATAAGAATTCTTCCAGATCCTGAATATAACTGAATGCAGCTATATAGGTGACCTCAGCTTATAACGCATGGCACATAAAAACCTCGCAGTGGAGCCCAGTCACCCATAGGATCATGAGAATTAAATCCTATTACTGGTTTAAGCCACTAAATGACAGATGATTTTGTTCCACAGTAACAGATAACCGAAACACTGTTTCCTCACCGTATCACACAGCAAAGCTATACGCTATATCAGGCACAACAGGTCCACCAGGATGAATAACAGAGAAGACTGTGGACATAAGGAAACTGAGATCAGATGAAAAGCACAGTTGATTCAGAAACATTTTATCCCCCCAATACAATCAGTCCTCTGTATCCAACCAACTGTGGATTAGAAATACGTAAAAAAAATAAAGTTCCACAAAGTTCCAATAAGCAAAACATGAATTTGCCATGCACTGAGCACTATGCTCAAACCACGCAAATGAGGTCATGTGTAGGCATACCCCTCTGCAGCCTATATGCAAATACAACGCCATTTCATATAAGGGACTTGAGCATCCAAGGATTTCAATATCCAGGAAAGGGTCCTGAAATCAATCCCCCAGGGGATACCCAGGGATGACTGTAATTGTCTGAGTTTCCATTTGGTACAAGGCAGCACGGCCTGGCGATTAGGGGTGTGGGTTTTAGATTCGGATGTGTTGAAATCACGACTCTCCCACCTGCTAGCTGTGGGAATTTGGTAAAGGTGCTTAAACTTCTTTGAACCTCAGTTTCTCCAGACCATGAAATGGAAGTCCATCATAACTACTTCCAGAAGCTGCTGGAATGATAATATAGGAAAGCACTTCTCCTCTCCCCTTCTGCCTAGGAAATGCCTATTCATGCTTCAGCCATAATTTCACTGCGATAGCCCTTTACATGAATTATGTCACCTGATTCCTCAACATTCAACCCTTTGAGTTGATACTGTTATTTTCCCCATTTCACAGATTACAAAACTAAGGCACAGAGAGGGTAAGCAATCTTCCCAAAGCCCTACAGCTGTTTAATAAGATAATGTAGAATAAACCAGGATGATGGCTTGCATGGCCCCCCTAGTTTTTCAGGGGTCACTGATGTACTAGAAAGATCGACAAGGCCTCAGCACTTGGGTTCCCCGTGACTCCTCCGCAAGCCTCTCCCTTGGGCTGGGGCAGAGTGTGAACGTGATGCCCCGCACGGAGCCTTTGCCTCACGCCGGAGGGGGAGCCTTCGAGGAAATCCACCTCCACCCTCGTCCAGCACATCCCGGAGGCGAATCGGCAGCTGGAGGAAAGAGGTGGTGAGTGCAGACTTATGCACAGGGAGGAGAGAGGGAAGAAAGGAGAGAGAAGAGAGGAAAGCGGGGAGGAGAGCGGAGGACGGGGCGCAGACAGCTGGCCCAGCTGAGACGGCGCGCGAGAACGCCAGCCCGGCGGGGCTGGAGCCGGCGGGTACCTTTCGGAGGAAGCTGGCGACCACCTGCTCGAAGGGGTACTTGTACACCTGGTGCACGTCCACCGTGACCCCCATCCCTGCGCGCGCGCCCCGCCGCAGCAAACGCAGAACCACCCGAACTCTGCGCGGGCCTCAGGCGTCCAAAAGCGGGCGGCCGAAGGGGCGTGGTTTTTTTTTTCTCCTTTTTTCAAACTTTCGAAACTTTATTGTCCACTCGGAGAAACAGACAGGCGGTCAAACTCCCGCCCCCTTCCGCCAACGTCCAGTGTGGGAGCCCCGCGGGCGGGGCGGCCCCGGAGCGGCCCCGCCCTCCCCGGCCGCGCCTGCAGCGCCTCTGTCCCGGAGCCGCCACGCGGTATCCTGCAGCCCTGGACTTTGGGACTTGTGCTTTCGTGTCATCACCTCGCCTGGAGCAACACAGTAAGCCTTAAACCGCTGTCGGCAACACTAAAAAGTAACAAATACGTTAACTACCCACCCTCCGAGTTTAGGAGTTCTGATATAACCCTTCTCCATTATGCTGAGTCCAGTGTAACAAAGGCCAGCAACATTGGTGTTAACGCCACCAGGGCAGCTGCCTCTGAGGCTTGAGGTTGGGTCTCACGTACTGTAAAAATATGTCACCTAGGAGTGTCCAGGAAATGAACCGTGGCTTAGCGTATCTGGCTCCAAAAATCCCTATGCTCCTTAAAGGTTAAACACAGCAGAGCAAAGAACGAAGAGGTACAAAAAGAATTTTCAGTATTCTTCACAACACTGTGCGGATTTTAGGAGAATATGCAAGTGACTCCATTCAAATAAGTTGTTCAACATATTACTAAACACCTACTGTGTGCCGAGCACTGTTGTAGGCACTGCATTCAACAGTAAAGCATAATCCCTGCTGTCAGGTAGGATGGATGAACCAGGTGACTTAAGTCAAAATAGGAAAATTAACAGGATAATGGATTAAAGTTATGGAGGGTAGAGCATGATTTTAGAATGAATCGGGAAGGTCTGTGAGGTGGTGACTTTTACATTTATAATTTTATAATCTCAGCCCTGACACACATAGTCATTTCTGGTCTGACAAAAGCCTAGCTATGCAGTCACTCACCGCTTTACCCAAGCCCCTGAAAGAGGGGGAGGGGCATATTCACGCCTATCGTATTAGCTTTCTTTTTAATTCATGACCACTAACCTCCAGTGGCCTTTTAATCCTGCCAGACAAAAACACATTTCTCTAATCCATTCTCTGTCCCACATCTCAAACCTCCAACACCTCCCTTCCTAGCCTATTCTCAAGTCATTACCTTGCTTCTTTTTCACTTAGTAAATAGGAAACTTCTCTCTCCTATATCTATCTACCCACCTGTACAAATGCCCCGCCTTCCTTCCTGTTCTTGTGGATGAACTATCAGCACTAATTTAAGGCCAGTCTCTCCACTTGCCTGCTGAATCCATTGGTGGGCTGGCAAAGGGTTAACAAACAGCTCTCCTTTAAAAACAAACAAACAAACAAACAAACAAACAAGGCCCTGATTTCTAATGCTCCACTGAGCATTAACTACTGCCATGTAACTACTCCACTGAGGCCAATTTCAGAGACATGATGTCCCTAAACTTGGAGGTGGGAAGAGAAGCACAGGAGTGCACCGTGGTGTGGCACTCCACCATCCACACACAACGGACACAACCACAAGAACAGAAATAATGGCAAATGTAGCAACATAATTAGGAAGCTGTAGCAGTGCATACTGTTTTCCAGCAAACTTCTTTTTTGTAAGTAGGACTGACTACACTCTAAAATAATGATAGATAGTATAGTTGATACATAAACCAGTAACATAGTCATTTATTATCAAGTATTATGTACTGTACATAATTGTATATGCTATACTTTTATATGAATGACAGGCAGTAGGTTTGTTTACACCAGCATCGCCACAAACATGTGAATGCGTTGCGCTATGACATTATGATGGCCAAGACATCACCAGGAATCTTTCAGCTCCGTTACAATCTTACGGGACCAGTGTCATGTGTGTATGACTGACCAAAATGCTGTTAATGGGCACATGACTGCAGTTAATTCTTAATCCCACCTTACTAAACCTATGGGCAGCATTTCCTTGAAACACTGAAATTGGACTTTAGGTGCCAAAGCCATCGCATGTTCTATGTATGTGTAAAGCAACTCTACGTACAGAAAACAAAACAAAAAACGTCTCCCTGGGTGTCTACATATGCTCACAAAGGAGAGATCATTTACTTGCAGGAGTGGAAGGTGTTCTGTACCTGACTCTGCTACCAGAGTAGCTGGAGAGTAGGTGTGAAACAGAAGTCCTCTGCCGGGCTGGGCCCTGTGTCCCCCCTCCACTGAACAATGATTTCTTCCAGAATGAATCCTTGAGCAGCTGTTCTCCGATTCTTGGTGAACTGGCTACAAAGGCCAAGGTTGTGTCCTGAAAGATTAAAGGCCCTGGCACCTGTTGGCTCTGCTTGAGCAGGCTGGCTGAATGACTTGTGTAAGAACAAATGCCACCTACCCATTTCAAGGACATTGGGACCCTTTGAAGGTGGAAATGTGTGGCAGGCTTGACAACAAAAGGCCACTGCCAAATAACCTTGTGGCTCATAATCACAGCCAGTTTGCACAACAATAATCCCAAATGCTGTGTCCCCAAAGAAGAGAGAAGGAGCCGTGAAACAAATTCTCGATACTTTGAAATGGTTGACTTAACTAGTCAAGGACTTGGGTTCGGATTTGCTGGCCAACCTCACAAATTCGTGACCCTATTTGGTCTTTAAGATACCAAACTCATCTATGTTTTTCAAGGCAAGGCACAGTAGTAGACACCCAATACATTTTGATGGAATGAGTGAACAATTGGCCCTTTATAGATGCTGTGAAATTTAAGTGGACAGAGAGCTTCAGCCCTCACCCTCTCTCCTCGCCTCTCCTTTCTGCTTTTCTTACCCTCTTCATCTGGTTCAGTTCCCTCTTCTGACCACCCTGACCATCCCTCTCTATCATAGAGCTTTTTTATCCAATCTTATAATTGTCTGTTTATGTCAATTCTCCACTGGATTGTAAGGTTCTCCAGACTGGAAGGAACTGTGTGTGACTCACTCTTCCCTATCCAGTGCTGAGTAGGAAAAACCTCAGTTCTCCTCCTACGTTTACCCATTACTCTCACACTACTAACACACTCACAACACTTGTGACACCAGATGTGTGAGGCTTTCCCCACACCAAGCAATTCTGTCACATCAGTTGGGTGTCCTACAATTTAACTCAATTCTGACACTATACCTGGGGATAGCATCAGTTCTCATAGGATAAGGGCACAGTCCCACAAGATTGCCCCTCCTCGCAATGCCAGTCACACATCCAAGTTAGCCGTGCTTCTGACTGATGAGCTATAAATCAGAAGCTCCCACAACCTCCTCCTCAGTTTGATTAATTTGCTAGAGGAGCTCACGGAACTCAGGAAAAGTTTACTTACTGTTTATCCATTTATTATAAAAGGATATGATGAAGGATACAGATGAACATCCAGATGGCATAGATGCATAGGACACGGTGTGTGGGAAGGAGCATCAAGCTTCCATGCCCTCTTTGGGCAGGCCACTCTCCCAGCACCGCCACATGTTGCCAGCCCGAAAGCTCTCTAAACCCCATATGTTTAGGCTTTTCATGGAGGCTTTATCACACAGACGTGATGGATCATTAACTCCATTTCTAACCCCTCGCCCATCTCTGGGGAATAGAGAGTGGGCTGAAAATTCCAAGCTTCTAATCATAGCTTGGTCTTTCTGGTGACCATCCAAGAGCCACCCAGAGTCACCTCATTAGAATAAAAAACACACCTATCACCCAGGAAATTCCAGGGGTTTAGGAGCTTGATTTCAGGAACCAAGATCAAAGACCAAACATTAGAAGGAGAGATATTCCTAGTGCTCCTATAACTTAGGAAATTACAAGGGTTTTTTAGGACCTCTATGCCAAGAAGGGTGGGGGACGGAGACCAATATATATTTTCTATTTCATAAGAGCCTAGCAAAATGCCTGGCACATAGTATATGTGGAATAAATTTGTAGATGTACTTAACATAGAATATGACCTTGGGCACGTTCCTTCCTATCCCTGCACCTCAGTTTCTCCATCAACACAGTGACCAAGAAGGCCAAGATTACCTCTAAAACTCCCTGCCAGGTCCCTGAGATTTCACCTGTGGGCTACAGGGCGGGGCAGGTGACATGGATACAGTTACTGGAAGCAGGAATTCGCAGGGAGAATATGACAAAATCTCAGAACGAATTCACAATGTCAGGGTAAGAAAGACCTGTGGCATCACCGAACTGTACTTCTCTTCCCCCAGTTAAGATGAGATTGATCAGAAGTCAAAAGAAGTTCAAGAGCTTTAATCAGGCAGAGAGGCAATATTTCAGGGCAAGAAGCCAGCAGGTTGTCACACCATCCAACACGTGACAGAGGACCTAGAAGGTCAATCAAATTCCAATGCCTAGCAAAAGAAACACATAAAATATCTATCTAGTGTTACACAAAGAAGTATGGGTGCTAAGGAGAAAAAATAAAGTGGGGAAGAAGGATCATAAGTGCAGGGTAGGGCAGAGGGGATGCCCTCCCTGACCAAGTGACATGTAAACAGAAAAGTCGAAAGAAGAGAGGAAGCAAGTCATGCTCCTGGGTGATCATTCCAGGCAGAAGGAGTGGCAAGTGCAAAGGCCCTGAGACAGCACTCCTTCACCTGGTATGTTTGAGAACTGTGAGGAAGCCAGTGTGGCTGCAACAGAGTCCTGGGAGATAAGGCCAGACAAGTAACATGATATAGGTCATATCCAGTCTCGTAGGCCATTGTGAAGATGTTAGCTTCATCTCTGTGTAAGATGGAAATTTATTGAGAACTTTGAGCTGAGGAAGAGACATGATCTGAACTCTGTGTTTTAACAGAGTCAAATGACTGTGGGGAGGCAAGGGGAAGAAAGAAACCAATTAGGAGTCTGTTGCAATAATCTAGACAAGAGATGATGGTGGCTGAGACCGCAGTGGTGTCAGTGGAGGTAGTGAGCAGTATGTAGCGTCTGGATCTATTGTGAAGGTGGAGGTGGCAGAGCGTGCTGAGAAATGGCAAGTGGGATATGAGAGCGGAGCCAAG